GAGAGAGAGAGACAGGGATCTTTCCAACTAACTAAACTCCAAGTTGATGTACTAGACAACTAATGGATAGGAAACTTTTAGAAATTGAAGTCTCCTCCTGGGAAGAGGGCTGAATTTACCTGGTACCCAGAATTTAGGAGGAAATATGCATACGACCTGTCCTTTAATCATTGAATCAGGGATGGTTGGTATGAGTCACACATTCTTATTCTCTTTTCTAATATGGTTCCAAGTATTTTTCTTTCCACAAAGGCAAAAGCAACAAAGATAAATTCCCAGTAAGAAGTAAAAGATGTGATCAAAGTCAATTTTTTGTGTCTTAGAAACTGCCCCCCCACCAAACACATGCACAGTAACCTAAAGAAAGCATACAAAGTTTAATTTAATCCAAGTTATTCTACCAATTATTATTTGCTAAGTTTGAGCAGAATACAAGGCCTGGGAAAGAAAACTCCAGTGCCTTCTCCCAGGAATCCGCTAGTCCGGCAAAAGAGAAGGGATGAGTGTATAACATTTTAGCAGCGTGATACAGTGATAAACACAGACATTCTGGTGAGCAGAGGAGGGGACTATCAAGATTGGGAATGGCATAGCCACCTGGCAGCATCCAGAGACAAGGGCTTTGTCTCCAGATTAGGCAAGTTCTCCTAGGATAAGACACACTGAAAAGGCAAGAAGCATGAAAACACCTTGCTTGCTCTGGGAGTTCTGAGGAATTCAAGACTGCTTGGGCATAAAGGGCTCAGGAGAGACTGATCCCAGGTGCGCTTCAAGAATAAAGGAGGAGCAAGTATTCGAGGAAAGAGTGCAGCATTTTAAGAAGTGTGAACTTGGCTTTATAGTCTGGGCTTCTCACCTTAGTGGCTTTATGTGCAGGGGAGAAGAGGAAGCAAGGAGGGAATACATAGCTACCCAGTTACCCAGGGATGCAGGTATCCGCAGGCTATTATCTAAGGAGTGCATCTCATTAAAATAGTCTACAGAAATGAGGCCGGGGAGGTGACTCCGTTGATAAAGTGCTCACCACACAAGTGTGGGGACCTGAGTTTGGTCCCAGAATCCACATTTAGAAGCCAGGAATAACAGTGTGCACATATAATCCCAGCTCTGATGAAACCAAGGCTGGTAGCTCTTGGGAGCTTGCTAGCCAGCTGCCCTCACGGAGTGAGTGGATTCTAGGCTCAGCGAGAGACCCTGTCTCAATATACCCATGAGGAAACTAAAGAAGACTCAAAATTGACCTCTGGTTGCCACATACATGTGCACACATGTGCACACACTTAAACATCAGCACGTACACACACCAAAAATGAGTATCGTGGGGTGAACTTACCAATTTTGGTAATATTAAACATTCATAAGCCACCAGTACTGAATACTTTCCCTGGTGCAAGGATGTTTTCCTCGGATTAGGTCATAATGTTCTTATAACTACTGACCTGCAAGGCAGACCTTGTTGTTCCTGTCTTGCACATGGAGACCAAAGGTCAAAGAAGTAAACTATCCAGAGCTATTCATAAGTGATGATCTATAACTCAAATGCAGACCAGCAGAGGCTCCTTATAACTAACCTCAGGCATATTAGGGAAAAGAGGATGAAAGACTAAGCTACCTCTACTCATGTGGGATGCCTTGAAAGGTAAGATGCAGGTATAGGACTTGCTTGGGTGTTCCTTGATAAATTATCTCTCTTGAGTCTCTGTTTTCTATCAAAATTTTAAAATGAAGGATAAATTAAATAATGCATAAGGTATCTCAGCTGAGGTCCATTAAAAAATAAACGTTCACATTCATGGCCTGTAACTTCGAGTCAGTCATCTTTCCCCTTCCCATACCCCAGCCCTGGCCCCTTGCCTGAAGAGTTTGACAAAGTCTGCCACTAAAAATGATTCTGCATGCTTTGAAATAAGGAACCCTCCCTTTGACTGTGTCTGTCCTCCACTGTTGGCAAGTCTTTGCCTTGCTGGTTTCCAAATTCTGCTGTTATATAAAACCGAATTGATCTTGCATTTATTTTATGTCTTCTGGAATTCTATAAGACTCTAATTGCCTTCTGTTTGGTATTTCCTGTGGATCTGAATCACAGAGACAAGAGAGAACCTATTTCACATAGCATTTTACATGGCCCCGTATGTCACCGCGTTATTGAAATGCAGGGATTCCTTTCAAGTTGCCCACGGAAGTTCTATCTAGTGTGCTTTCTACAGGGTCCTTGGGTTCAAGCTGTTGGCCATAGAGTGTTTGGACTATTGCCATTGCACTTAACAAAATTCTGTAGTTCTAGTATCTGATCTTTTAAAATAGCAAAACCCTTACCTAACTTTTCCCCATTCAAAGTAGGAACAGAGAAAAAAAAAAAATATGAGTATACCCACACTCGCTACCATGAAGAAAGAACAAGGTGATGAGGTGAGCAAACCTGGTAGTAATAAAGATAATACAGACTCTTAGATCAAAGCATTTCCTTCCAAATCTCTTTCCTTCATCCCTCACCATAGCCAACAAGGAGGCCACCTCTATACCTCAGGTTGGTAGCATCAGATTCTCACCAGTCTGAGCTACACACACCATGCCCTCCCACAAGGGATTGTTCAGACCTGAAATCAACAGCTTCTTCCTTCCAGCCTCAGTGTTCTGCAAATCAAAGTCAGGTATTAAAACACTGGCACTCAGTTTCTTTCACAGGCAAAAATGGGGAATACACACACACACACACACACACACATCTCAGACTAAAGTAATGGGCCTCTCCCTCCCCTTACCTTCTTGTTAACTTGTTAAATTCATGTCCTATAAATAAACATGCAGAGAGGAGGGAGGAAAGGAAGAAGTGAGGAGAGAGAGAGAGAGAGAGAGAGAGAGAGAGAGAGAGGGAGGATGAGGTATAAACACACAGAGGAAGTTTATTCTGTTGTAAATAATGATGAAACCATGACATTTGGAGAAAAATGGATTGAACTGGAGATAATTATGTTAAGCAAAACAAGACAGACTCTCAAAAACAAATGTGTTTTCTCTCTCATGTGTAGAATCTAGATATTCAAACTGAGAAATTTTGGCTTATGGGCATGAGATGGGGAAAAGTGGCAACAAAGATAAGAACAATATTGTGACCTTTATCATGGTGAATTGACTTAGGTATTTTCTTTAGAATTAAGTCTTCTGTAATTCTAGTTTTAAGGTATTAAAAATCTTTGTTTTTTTTAAGGTAATAGAGCTAGTATATAATATTCTCTCCTCCTCTTCTCCTTCCTTTACCTTTTCCTCCTCCTCCTTTTGTTCTTTTGGCTTTTTGAGAAGTGGTCCAAATTACCCCATGCTAGCCTCAAATTCAGTGTGCATGCAAGGTTGACCTTGACATCCTGACTCCCCTGCTTCTATCTCCTATGTGCTAGGATTACAGACATTCAACTTCAAGTCTTGCTGATCATATTTCCATTGTTGTTTGGTTGTTTATTAATGGATATATCTCTTTTAGTTGTTGGGCAAATTTTTTAAAGTTTTGTATTCTAGTAAGGCTGCCAGTTGATAGAATTTCCATTATTTTTTTAATGGTTGTTGACAGATTTTTTTTTTATAATTCCTTGACAAATTTTGAAAAAAAAAAAAGGTGCCCTCTGACAATCTCCCAAGTCCTTTGGTCTTTTGTAAATAATGATCCTGTGGATTTACCAGCCTAGACGCCAACACCAATGGGCAAGGTAATCTCTAAGATCATGGTAGACATGATACGCTAGAGATTCTAGAAGAAACTGAAGACCCTCATCTCCTCTTCCTGATCTGACTCCATCAATAGCTCTCTAATAAAAAAGTAATTACATTGAACAGCCAATAGACAGGAACTCCAGGCTCCTAAAATCACCCGTGAGCAGGGGGTGTGCATGACACTGAATCCTGCAGGATGTCTCTGTGCCTACTTGGGAAGTTGGAAAGGTTCTAGAAATCTGACCCAGCCAGATAAGCATCAGAGGCAGTACAAGTTCTTATTCTACCTGATGGTGTTTAACTGGAGTTCAATTGTTATCAAAATGCTTATATTAGGAAGACAGCACAGTGCTTTTCCTCTTGGTATTTCAAGGTTCTACTGAGCTTCCATCTCAGTGGAGCCCCTTCTGTCCACACCCCATCTCTTTAGCCCTGAGACCCTGTTTTCAAAGGAAACCCATGAAGTCATATGTCCCTAGGACGCAGCTCTAGAAGGTCTGTAAGAGGTTACTCACCTCCAACCACTCATCCAAAAAAGCAGGGTCAGTCAGTGTTTCCTTACTGTAACACAATACCTGAGGTGATTGATGAATTCACAAGAAAAAAAAATTTGCCTCATTTTTGAGTTCCAAACAATGATTATTTGTCCTTACTGCTTTGGTCTTCAGTGGCAGAGCAAACCACTAGCCACACAGTAGCTGCGAAGCAGAGGGAGGTCATGATAGTATAGTCCGACATCAGCAGTACACCCACCCGAGGACTAGACGATCATCCCCTCGACTGTACCTCTTCAAGTTTTCACCACCTCACAAAAGCAATAAGCTGTGGCCTAAGAAGTTACTACCCAGGCCTTTGCAAAACCATTTCAGATCCAAACTATAAGAACAGCAGGAGGATGTTCTAAAGGTGGGGGTTCCCGACTCTGAACTGCAGGCACTTGACATCCCTTGCGTCTTTTCTTAAGCATTTTGAAGAACTGGTCCTCCTGACAACACAATCCTTTTTCTACCGCTTTGTTTCTTTAGGAGCATCATTGTCTTCGTATTAAAATCCTGGGGGACTGCTACTACTGCGTGTCTGGACTGCCCGAGCCCCGCCAGGACCATGCCCATTGCTGTGTTGAAATGGGCCTCAGCATGATCAAAACCATCAGGTAACGTGTTATCTCCTCTGCGGTGTTCGTAGCCTCCGTGAGTGTGAGGAGACGTACGGCTGCATTTGTCCTTTGCTGGAAATTTTTGGAGTGTGGTTTTAAGCTTGCCTTATTTCACAAAACCTGCATATCTGTTGATTCTTGCACAGAAGCTAATGGATCTACTGGTCCCCTTGTTTAATGGTAACATTTCACTTTCAGGCAGTCGTGCAGGAACTCTGATCATAAATGTTCTTGTGGGGATACTGTTGAAAAGATAAGCAAATCCTCTTCACAGAGCCCAGCAGGAGAGATGGGCAATGCATACACGGTTTCATCGCAGTACAGTAATCTCTGAATAAAACCCAGGATTTGGGAAGGTTAAAAGGAAGACCTGTTAATTCAGCTGCTATCATGGGCACGCCCATGGTGGAAGAGAGATATATAAGCTGTTTCTTGAAATATATTCTGCATAGACATCAGTGAGATGCTTGGAGACAGAGCGGGAGCTCTGAAAAGCAGATAGGTGTGGATGCAAATCAAGATACGCTGCAACAGCTGAGGCCTGAAGGAAAAAGAGATGGTGATTGATGGTCTATCGAAGGGTTCAAGCCAGAGCCCATAGGGCCTTAGTAACAAAGGTATCTTCAAGTCCAACTAGCACTGGCTTCTTGTGTGTGCTGCAAGTACTTTGAGCTTTTGTCAATACTCTTGTCCAGAGTTCAAACTAAGGAAAGGAGTTTGGGGATTCTAGAATTAAACTGTATGGCTTTGGGACAAAAGCTCATGATTGCCAGAATTCCCACCGGGATTCTAAAATGGTTACAGAGCCTGTAAATATTACATTCTTGCACAACATTGGAAAGAAAGAGAGAGGAGGTGTGTGTGTGTGTGTGTGTGTGGTATATATGTAAGTGTGTGTGTGTGTGTGTGTACATGTGTGTGTGTTTGAATGACACCCAAATGCTCCCATGAAATGTAGTATAGAAGCCTGGGGGGGGAGAAAAAAAACACCTCATTTCAGGAGTTAGGGCTTTAAGGTGGAATAAAGTAGACCAAGCAAAGTCAGTATAAGCAGAGTTTGGCAAAATGTAACTCCAAAGCTTGAAACTTCTCACTGGGAAGTCCTACTTGAATTAAAGTAGAGATTCCATAGACAACTCCACTTTCACAAAGAAGAGGGACAAATCCATAGTAGCCCAAAAGCTGGCAAAATAATTTCCCTGGGGAAAGGAAGTGAATTCCTTGTATTTTTTTTTGTTTTTGTTTTTGAACAAATGCTTTGATAAACTCCTGGTGTTGAAAGCATACTACTTTTGAAAGCTAAGTGACAAAGAGGGCCAGCCTGTGTGCTGTTTGTGGGCTGCAGGCCTTTCTGCTGGACTCTGCATGCTAAGGAACAGCACAGGCATCTGGTGGAGGACATCTGTCAACACAGTCAAAGGAGTGTACGAGATGTTGGGGCACAGGCGGTGGACAATCAGGAAGATGCTGAAGTCTTAGGTCTGAGTGACTTCAGACCATATCTGAAATTCCTTCATTTTCTGGGCAGTGTTATATTTTTGCTTTTTCATAAAAGGAAGGAGTTTGAGCATCAGGAGCCAAGAAATCCTAGATACCTCTTCTCTCTTTTGATGCCAAATCTAAGATCATTCTACTATCTGACCGTGCTTCTTGGCCTTGCCATAGTTCACTGCCCTAATTTCTAGGCTACTTGATTCAGAGGTAGAAGTAGATCTATAAAAATGCTACAGAAGAACCATATATATATATATATGAAAGCTACCACATTGCTGTCAGTAAGAAGTAAGAAACTAGAATGCTTCTAAATCTCTTCATTTTTTTTCTATCAGCAGAAACCCTATGCTTGTCATGGTAGTAGCTTACCTTGCATGTCCTGTATCACACTATAAGAAAATTGAATGAAGGACTAGAGACATGGCTTAGTGCCTATGAATGCAAACTGATTTTGCAGAGGTCCAGAGGACATTCTCAGTCACGTTGGGTTGCTCATTACTACCCTTCGCTCCAACTCCAGAGGATCTGACACCCTCTTTGGCCTTTGCAGACACTTGCACAACACCCACCCCCAACATACAAGCACACACATGGACACAGATGTGGACAAGAAATACACACATTGTTAGGTATTAAATTCCCAGTTGCTGAGTTCCTCCACTGCCAATGCAATAAGCCAAATCAAACTGAATTAATAAACCCAGATTTAATGAACAGGGCAGTGCAAAGCAAAGCACTCCTATGACTCTCAGGAAGGCAGGAGACAGAACAGGAGAGCACACATGGCAGATCTATGAGCCAAGTCTTGAATAGCCCGTAGGCGTGGTCCCAGGCATCTCCTGGGGAGGAGACTCTGATGGCAGACTTTCTAGGAGGTGGGGTCTGAAACAAAGCAGCTCCAGGGAGCTGCTGCTTGGTGTGCTGAGGAATGAGTCTGGAAGAGCTCCAAAGCTGGAGAGTCCAAACACACATAATTTAAAATAAAATCAAATCTTTTTTCAAACAAATAAAATTATACAATTGCCACTTACTTCTATTCCCATTTAACCTTCCCTTCAAACTGTCTTTGAATATCAACTCAAAAAGTTAACAGTGATCATGATCAAATTTAAGGAACGTTTTTTATTGATTTTTATTGAGCTCAACATTTTTCTCTGCTCCCCTCCCTGCCTCTTCCCTCACCCCTCCAAACCTCCCCCAAGGTCCCCATGCTCCCAATTTACTCAGGAGATCTTGTATTTTTCTACTTCTCATGTAGATTAGATCTATGTAAGTCTCTCTTGGTGTCCTCATTGTTGTCTAAGTTCTCTGAGGTTGTGGTTTGTAGGCTGGTTTTCTTTGCTTTATGTTTAAAAACCACCTATGAGTGAGTACATGTGATAATTGTCTTTGTGCCCATAATGTTGAGAAGAGGGAATGAGGGATCGTCAGTATTTTGCTGTGAGATTAGTGACAGATACTGAAGTCTCCACCAGCCCAAGTAGACAGAGAGACTACAGGTGTCAATTTTGTTTGTTCCCTGTCTTCTGTACTGCAAAAGTTCCCACCCTTAAAGACTGGAAAGATGAACCAATAGGCTCTAATGCAAAGTTTACTTTATGCCGGACTTCGACAAATTAACTCTTCACTTGGAGGCTTGAAGCTTTGGACTGAAAACAAGTACCAATTCTGATGTTTTAATAGGTCTGAAGAGAGGCAATGGAACAGGCACCCAGGGAAGCAGAGATCTCTGCAACCAAGCAGATATGTGATGCTCCTCCTGTCAGCCAGCCAATAACTCTGAAAGCAAACGTTTATTGAACATTTCTGTGTCGTCCTTGTGCCAAACCCTGGAAATCCAGTTGTGACTGCTTTATCTCTAAGCTTTTGTTCTGCATGAGTATAGAGAGACCACTTGGATTTATTGACTATAAATTGAAGAAGTCAGACCAGACATCCTTGAAGTCTCTTTTGGTTCTGAGAACCTGTGACTTATACCTCCATAAACCTCAGAGCCAAATAATGAAATATACTGCTCACATACCGTAAGACTTTCTAGTTTGATCTTAAGCAGAAGACATGCTGTAGAGACACCATTGCAAAGGAACTGAGCCTGCTCGGGTCATACTCATTTCTCTTTCGGCAGAGAAACTTGTCCCTGGTCCTTTTGATGGCTTATTTAAGTTCCTTTCTGAAACTCTGGAGTTGGACAATGAGAAGCAAAAACTTAGATAAGTTGAAATGATTCAAGGGCATTCTCTCTCATTCATTTATTAAGTACCACTTCTACTTCCTCAGGAATAGACACATTGGTTGCATATTTTTTAACTGCATGACTCAGAGCCTATTAATACCCAAAGAACTACTTGATTATAATGTACGAGACTTGAGGTCCAGCATTAGTTCTTCAGTTAACAAGAAACTGTGGCACTGAAGAATGAACAGAAACGCTGGATTTAGGCAAGCCGTTGTTGTAATTGGCTCAGGCTTCTAGAATCTCTCTCCTACTGACAAATATTTCACTCTGGGAAACAGCTGCTGAAAAGATTCACCCTTCAGTGTGTGTAGAACAGCATCCAAGTTACTAGCTTTATGAGGAAGGGATTATTCTTACCATCTATCACTTGCATATGCTGCATTTGCTTTATTCTACCTCAAAATACTTGTCTCGACAACTGGAAAACACATGTGTGTATGTGTATATGTATGTATGTGTATGAACTTCACATAAATGTGATACACACACAAACATGCACACATTCGCACTCAGCTATAAAAAAGAACTGTCTGTCATTTTTAGCAATATGGATAAGTCTGAAAGGCATTATATTAAATAAAATAATCGAGGAATCAAAGTACAAATGCTGTAGGATTTCATGAATGTGGTATCAGAGCAAGCTCATTTCCCAGAAGCAGAGAAGAGAGCAGCAGTTGGAAAGCTGTAGTTCAAGGGTGGAAAGCTTCAATTCTAAAAATAACCCTAAATGACCTTGTACATCACTGCAACTGCAGTCAATTGCATATTGTATTCTTGAAAAATGCTTATAGAAGTTTTCTTATAACAGAAAAGAAAACTACATAAGAAAATATATTCCAGTTAACTGGGTTTAATCATTCCACAATCTATACATAAAATCAATGTTGTATACAGTAAGTACATACAATTTTGCCTGTTAATGAAAATAAGAAGTAAAATATAACAAAACTGAAGCATTCACAGTAGGCAAGAGCCAAGACAATCAAAGCAATTGAGGGAGAACTGGCTAAATATCTCAGTAGCTAAAGGAATGAGGAATGAGAGACACAACTCCATATAAAGCTATAATCAGACCTCCAAACATGTACAGTGGCACTAATGTGCCCATGCTCACATATAACACACATAATAATAATAATGACAGTAGTAGTAGTAGCAGTATTCAGAACCAGGAAAGCAAGAGCTCCATAGTTCCAATTCCTCTCTTTGCACTTTTATTTGAGACTAAGGAAGATAGAACTATAACTTTGTACCCTTTATCCAAACT